ACACAGATATATATTTTAGCAAGGTACGAGTCATCTTCAGCTAAAACAGTTTCATTTTTCTAACAAGGTGGTTGGCCTTTGGAATGGGATGCCTTCGGACGGTGTAGAGGCAGTAAATTTAAGTAAGTTTAAGAAAAATCTTGAAAAGTATATGGATGATAAGGGCTGGCTTTAAGATGTTTTTTTAATTATTTTAATTTAGTTTAGAGGATGGAACAGCTGAGATGTTGTTCTAAAACTTTACGTTATGTTATGTTAATCTGAAACACTTTGGACTCAAACCAAACAGAATTTGAGCTCAGACTCCGACTGTTGAGGTAGGTAGTCGTTTAATTCGAGAGAAGTTGAGCCTAAACCAAATTAACTCTATTGATGAGACAGGTACCCGTTCTATTTGAGACCCTGAGTTCACGTCGCTTGTATAATATAGGAGTTGATCCAGGGTGTGTGGATAGGGTATCTAGCCACCTTCCTTTTCCAGTGTAAGTGAAAAAATCAAAAGGGTAATCAGAACAAAAAAGGAGAGTATTCCCCAAACCCCTCAAATAGCTACGTCCCTAAATAAAGTGTTGGCTCAGACTCTGTAATACTTGGTACTCGCTCAAGATGAGCCACTTTAAACTTCCAAAGTAATACAAAAATTGAACTACTTCCCACTTTATAAAATAATTATTCACTCAATTTAGCCATTATTGGCTTGAGCCAAACCAAACTGAATCCAAATTCACGTCATTGTGGTTAATAAAATTAAAAGTGGAAATCCCAGTTATCCTCCTGGTTGGAAAGTAGTTAGCGAAAGTATATGTTCACTTGTAATGCGACCTACTTTACTTAATTGGTGGTCTATATTGAATAATCTCAACGATAGGGTGGTGAATAGGTGTGGTAAAGAAACAGGGTGCGCAAGCGTAAACTTCAAAACATAAAATGATATGAAGTACACAAGTTATAAATTACAAAACAAACGAATGATGTTGCATTAGTCCTAAAATGCAACCTGCATTGTTTATGTATGGTGACTTGTAATCAGAGAAAATTCAGATTTTCAATAAAGAACCACAATTATTCAAAAGGAAATATCATTGTTTAATCATTTTCCGTCTGCCCTGCAGCTGAATGAGTTAAAACGTTTCCTCTTAGCATCGAGTCCTTAGGTTATTGATTTCTAGTCAAGAAAGGCAATTTCGTAAAGAATAGACATCTCGTGACACCTATCTACTGATTGGTTTCTTCCTTCTTGTGCGTTACAGAATACAATCATGAACATCGTCTCTTCAGCTATTTTGGACGTTCATCTTCACACATCTAAAAAGGAAAGTCTTTTAATTGTGAAGAGACCTTTAATCACTAAACTTTAGTGAAACTTAATTGATGCGTTCCAAAGTCATAATGTCAGCTTGTGCTAGTAGGCTGGCTTAAGGTTTATGTGTTTATACATATATAGTATTAGTTTCATCTTCAAACTTTTCTGATCAGAATATGTTTCTATTAAACATGAAATTTTCAATATACATTATTCCACATATATTAAATTTTTATACTAATATTAAAGTTCACCCGAGTAAGTTAAAGAAAAAGAGAGTAACCAAGGAAAAACAAAGAGTAATAAGAACAAGAAGGGAGTGTATACTTTAGACTCCATCAAGTATCTCACCCATAAGTAAAATACTGTTTTAATCCATGTAATAGTAGGTACTCGACGCATGGAAAAAATGACCATGTTAAAGGCCCCACGCTTCAAGCATAGCCATTCTTTAACTCAGAAGTGCTGACCAGAAGAAGGAAGGCAGTCAGCAGCACTCACCGCCTACATGGTTACTCTTAATCGAGTTTGACTGTCATTTTATAGACTTACAACACTAAAATCCGGGATTCGATTCCCTACGATTGATAAAGTAGGTAATCAAATGTGGCTTTACTAGAAAACTGAAGGGTTAACTGTCACAGTTATAACGATATATCCTGGCTCGAACACAGAACCTTCCAATTCGCAACTCGACAATGCTAACCCCACTAGACCGAACCCGTCCTGTAAAAAAACAACACACACACACATACGTCGTACTATATATCATTTAAATTATTCTGTATTTTGTTCTACTTTTCCGTTCGTTTTTCATTATAGTCAGTGAGTTTTGTTCGACCACTAGCTTAACCTATCTAACTAAAGCTAAATAATAATAATAATTGAATGAGTTATATACATAATGAACTTTTAAAACTTATTAAATCCGTCCCTAGCCAAGCGTTTCTGAGCTTCCACCAGTGACACAGCGATATGTATGCGGACATACAACGCTAGAAACTGGCTTTCGATACCCGTGGTGGGCAGAGCACAGATAGCCCATTATGTAGCTTTGTGCTTAACTAACAAACAACAAAAACTCTCTGAGCTCGAACAAAATAGTTATAATGAAAATAAAATGTACACTGAGAATATTTATATCATTTTTTTTATATTTTACTGCTTAATATTTTACAACTGCTAAATATTTAATGATTTTTTTGTAAACATTTTGTAAAAGATGAATTTTGTTCAAGCTGAAAATGTGGTTCTATTATATATTACGTATTTTGAAAGAGTGATTTTTTTTCGCGTTCTCAGAATTAAATCAGATTTCACGATTAACCTGTTAATGACGGGGTGGTGAAAGTCTATCGAAACTCAGTATAGGTTCATTTTGGAATGCTAAGTACAGAGTCGTTTCTTTTTTGGAATCTGATACCGAGCTCCATTATTCCATTCGTATGTTTTGCCATTTCAATTGCATAATGCATAAAGAGGTTAACTTGCCGAAAACTTGGTACTCCATACACTCAGAGATCAAGTCCTTGCAAACGTGAGTACTCGTACTTCTGTTCAGGAGAATTTACCTTTAATCAAAGATGGATATTTATATTTTCTGATGTGAATAAATCATCTTCTTTTGGAAAGAGGTTACTTGATGTTTTAGATTGAAACTTTTCTCTCTGATGAAGAGATTACAAACTCACAGATAGTTATGAATTGTGCTCCCAAACTCAAGTGAATGACCTACAAAAAACTCAAGCACTGTAAATTTCGAACTCTTCAAGTGGTTGTTCTGATGTAAACACTGTAGCTAACCACTTAATTATCTCCTGTTAAATTCTCCTCAGACTCACAGTGGAGAGCCAACTGATAAATATAAACTTCGTTACAATAGTTCTCAAAACAGCTAGCACTTGACCCAATGATACGAGTGGTCGAGTTTACAAATATGTAGTGATGCAAACTGCTTTAGTTTCTTTAAAAGCACCGCCTCAGTATATCAAGAAATGCGTTATATGTTAACTGTCTACTGTAGTATATGTGAAAATATAGTAGACCATTAAAAAATACTAGTATAATTACAATAATTGAAGCTAAAAGTATAAATATCGAAATGAGGGTAAACATTAGAAGCATAACAGCAATAAAGTTGTGCAAAGTTGAGGTTAAATGTAATTGTATTTCTACTTTTAAACAACCCACCAATGGCTCAGCTGTAAGTCCGAAGACTTATAACGCTAAAAACCGGGTTTCGATATCCTATTGTATAGCTTTGCGCTTAACGACAGACAAATGATAATAAAGAGTTTAAATAATACGTTGACAACAAACTGTCAAATAGATTATAAATAAATGAAACAACAGTGAATCCCAAAATATATCATAAAAAGTTTATATTCGATCAATGCTCGGAATTATGTGCACTCAACATGGGCGTCCACAGGATATATTATAGGGCGTGGGGATAAAATAACAAAACAATACCCAAGCTATAAATTGGAAAACACAAATTTTTAGTCCAGGGTGGCAATTGTCTTTTTGCCTACCTTGCAGATGCCCATCCACTCAACTATCACTCAGCATTATGTAATGTAAAAAATGTCCAATAGATTACACAGGCCTACGATGATATTATTGTCTTGAACGTTTTACATGTTCTACGATAATTCCTGTACGCTGAATCCGAAAATGGTATCCATTTTTCTTCATCACGTACAGATTTTTCACAAAACGTCATAACGCAATACACAAAAGAAAGACCATAACACGTAGTTTTGAGACTACAAGACGTAGATTTCACACACACATAAAAGAAGAAGTTTACCACAATGAAGATTGTTTATTATTATGTTTGTTAACAAAAAATACAAATAAACTGATAAAAAGGGAAGAACATTTTTGTCAAACGAATATGGATCCTCATCCGGGAAATAATAATTTGATCTAAGTTGTTATTTTCTTCCCGATTTGTAAAAAGTCCTTATGTTATATAAAAAAAGAATATTACTTTCAAAATCTGCGTAGCTAAATTATGGAAAATCCGTTATCAAAACCAAAACAACTTTTATGAAGTTTAAATTCGCAGGTCTGTGCAATTAACTCAAAGTAGTGAATTATATTATTTCAATCAAAACACAAGGATATAATTACCACGGTTACATGCGATGGTCTTGATGTGTCTCTGAGAGTGATTGCAAGGCCCTCTATAGGGACTCCTAGAAACAAATTTTCATTTAAGAGTTTCTGCGGTCGTGTTTTCATTCAGTCCAATCTAGCTAAAAAGAGACCTTCCTTAGAACTTTAAATAGGATAATTTACAATAATTCAAGTTTACAAAAACGACATAAAAGATGTTTTCACAAATGATGATAACTATACGAGAAACACCTACTGTACCATGTAGCAGATGAAGGTAGTCGTCATATTGGGTAAAACATATGTCTACTTAAGCCTGTGCAAAAGTACGGAGAGTTTATTATCATCCTGTTGATGATACAATACTTCAAAAAATAATATAACTTGTCGCAAGAGTTTTGCAATAGATTTATTATAGCTGCAGATTACAGCTATTAGCATAAGCGCCACACCACGGGCGGCTGTTTGTGCTAATAATTACTAATCGTAGTATTCCCAAGCTCATTGAAAAAAAAAATAGAAAAGGTGAACATTTTCTAAAAAAATGAAAAATAAATTCGGAGAAGTTTGTTTGTTTGTAATTAAGCACAAAGATACACGATGGGCTATCTTTGCTCTGCCCACCACGGGTATCGAAACCCGGTTTCTAGCGTTGTAAGTCCGCAGACATACCGCTGTACCACGTGGGGGGGGGGGGCTTCGGAGAAGTACTGCACGGGAAAAGTGTTCGTGTTGTGCTGATATAAACTGTAATGTTTTTATGTATTAAAAGTGCTAGCCTTTATTGAAAAAATGACGGATTTTTTTAAGAATTCCATTTTTAGTACGATATTTGTAAATTATATCAATAAAGATGTAATCAAACCCTCACTTACAGTTCTAGTGAAAGTTGTGTTCTTGTTGTGAGGAGAGTACTTTTATTTAGAATTGTGTTTAGAATTTTATTTATGTATCATAAAACCATATTTAAATCTGCACAAGCCTCGTGGACACTAGATATGGAAGATATAGTGATTACATATATCATTATGCACTCTTCTTCATTTTATTTAGAAATTATTATTAATGATCACTAATATATTCTTCTCCCATTGATACTGTGGTCACTTGGTCCGCTATGAGATCAAGAAGACTAGCCTTCTATATAGTTCGTTAGTTCTCCTGAATAAAGAGCAACTTAGTTCAATGAAATAATAATTCATAATATATGGCGTTAAAATAAATAATATAATGTTTAAAATGCATTCCCAAATTCTGATGTGTTGCGACATAAATAAAAGCCCCCAAGCGGCTCAGCGGTAAGTCTCTGGACTTATAACGCTAAAAATTAGGTTTCGACATTCCTGATGGGCACAGCACAATAGCCCGTTGTGTAGCTTTGTGTTTAAGAATAAACAAACATAAATTAAATACAGTGAAAAGTTACACTTCACCAGCATAATTCAGATCACACCGTAACAGATCTTGTCAAGCTATTTGCTAATATAGTTAGCCTCTGAGCTATTACTAAATCTTTCGTATCCCAGCAGGTCTGAAGAACCTAGGTATTCGGCGAAAGAGCTCGTCGACACTAAATGTAGTAGATGTAATGTGTTTGACATATCATCATTAAATACTCTTCTTTAATTTCACTTCGATAAATAAATAATTAATTAATTAAGCAAAAATAGCCCATTCAGCTAGCTTAGTCATTACTAAAGGACGAGTTTTTGATTTATAATTATGACTCTATCACTTACATATTTTCATGTCAGCATCCGTATGTCATATTCAGTTTTTCGGTGTATACAAATTAATGAAAGTCTTCTATGAAAATTAATTAAGTAGGTTACAAGTAATAGACTTAAACTTATGCTTTATCTATACTTAGATAATCAAAAATGAACTACTAACTTACGCCACAAATTGGCGACATATTTATAATAACTCATTTTGTACGCAAAATACATAGGAGACCGCAATAGTAATGGTGGAATAACTTAAAATGTTAATTGTTGTTTTGATTTTATTTTACATTTTGGTATGTGACTCCTATGTTAATAGGGACCCTATAACCAATATAATCATGACAAACAAGAAACGTCGTTTCTAAATAGTCTAGAAAAATTTGCTTTAAAAGCCGATGCCCCATCCGCAAGTTAGGGTTAAATGAACAAACCAGGTTTTTAAAAATACATCTTGAAGCATTATTTGTCAAATTATAAAACCTAGGTCTTATATATCTTTATCTAAAATTTATCTTCCTTCAATAGTTTAAGTATTTTCTTTCTGAGCTGGAAAGTCCTGAATTCTCCCAGTTTTCTCACTCTTGCGACCGCAGGAATTAATAGGAAATTGATCAAATGTTGTCATTACACCGGAATAATAATAAGAAAGACATCCTGATTTGTTGTTACTAATAATTAGGTTCAATGAGGGTACAGAATAAAAGAAAATATGTATAATACTCTTTTTAAAAATCACTAATTCGTTTTGTTTAGAACAATTTATTATGTTGCTACAAACTTCCAAGCTTGTTTTTAGTGAGCCAACTCACTGATAGCGAGGTTGTGGGTGTTAAGATAGTGTTATTTTAATAATCAAATTTTTAGGTTTCACTTTCAAGTCACACCTAAACTAAATTCAACGCCAGAAAGTGTCTACCACATACACAGTATTCTTATTATTTATTCCACCTTTAACTTAGAAGCCTTACATGGCTGCCCTCTCCATGTCAAACACAAAAATGCAAAAAAAAGACTTACATAGAACTGGGATATGAGAGCACGTCCTTCTGTGGAAGCGTTTCTTGTTATCTTATACAACTACACAAGTTTAGAAATATTTTTCAGTCGTTTTTGTCACCTAGTAAACGATTTTTCAGTCACAAACATTTTTTTCAGAAAATGATTATGTCACCACAAGCTATGATAAATATCAAACAGGCATTCGTAACAGTCATGACTCATAGGTCAGAGGTCTTCGTCTGACCCTTTGGGACGAGCCCACTGTATCTTCTTTTTTTCAGAGATATCTCGTTTTCCGTCCTCTTTCTACACACACACACACACACACACACACACACACAGAGTATTTCCTGTTTTTTTGCTTTTCATCCCCATTTATAGCGTTCCTCAGCTCATATGTACGATGAAGACGAGGAACCACTCATTGACAAATCTGGCTTTTCGCCAAAATTACTGTCAAATTTGTCTTCCCTTTTTATGGATGTTAAATGAAACGTATATCTCAGCTTGTAGCTCAAGTTTAGTGATGTAAACCGTAATATGTGTAAACACACAATCTGACAAACACTTTTTTGAAGACTTCATCATCAAGCAATGCTGTGAGAAAACGATCAAGACGTAATATGTACAATTAATGTGGATTAAGTGTTACAGGATTAACAATCAGTAATACAGGGACAAAAGTACTAAAAATGAATGAAATAGTATTTGTTTATTTTTCAATTATAAATAAATGAAATTGTACATTTTAGATATTGTTTTCATTACACAAATACATCCACATGAAAAACAATGTAATACTCTATAGACTTGAAGTTCATATTCTTGAAAATATCGAATAGGAGATATGCAAATATCACTCTTAATCCTTGTAGATTCTAGTTTTTATTTTGTAGTAAGGTAATAAGATGCTAAATACTAAACATGCGGCATCCGTAGGCAGTAAAACTTCTTTTATTTTTTATTCAAGCTTTTTCTTCT